ATGCGAACCAGGGATCTTCTAGCTGCAAGGTGACGGTGCTAACCACTGAGCCACCTTGTCTCCAAATCAAATACAATTAGACCACTCTAAAGTGGCTTCATTACTTCACAATGCCAAAAGGGTCTGGGCAAAGAAACACGAACTTATCAAGAAACACAAACTAATCAGCTCCAGAATAATGGATTTTGATTTGTGTTTTTCTTTTTCTTTTCCTTTTCCTTTTTTTCTTTTAATTAGCATTTTTAGAAAAAGTTTTATATTCCTCTGTGTTATCTCTTAAAAAAAACAAGTTGACATATTACGCATCATAAAGACACATTTGTTTTTGTACATGTCTTGTGATTTTCAGCTGTATGTTTCATCTGTTATCTGTTTTACAACAACAATCCAAAGTTTCCTTTGGATTCCCTTTGAGCAAGCAGTTTGAAGGAACCAAGAAAACTCTCCTTTAATGGGAAGGAAGAAACAAAACAAACTCCAACAGAACCAGGCTGAGTGAGGGTGGTCATCGACAGATTGGGGTGAGAGTGAGGATGAGGGGCGTGGGAGAGTTTTTGGGGTGGCGATAGCAGAATAGCACATGGAGAACAGGCAAACAATATATATAAATATATTGTCCTATATTATTATAATGTACATTATCCACCTATTAGCTATTTCATCTTTATGTCCATTTACTTCCATCCAAGTGGCATCAACCTTCTTTTGTGTAAACACCTTCAACAAGTCCACATCACACACGACACAAATCCAAGCATGTATTCATTGCTCATATTGCTGATTTCCAAGCTCCATTGTTGTTTTGTGGTAGTTAGTTTTGATAAATTAGATTGAAATAAAGACCACAGTCTCTGAGCCAGTTTGAACATTATGGATGAGATCAAAAACAAATGAAAGTCACTGAAAGTTGTTCAAAATGATCTGAGAAGAATACACTGTACGTGTTCAAGAAACATATTGATGGGACGAGTGTGAAAAACAAAACAAAACAAAACATTGCTATACTTCAAATAAGTTGTTGCGTAACCGTGTTTTTTTTCTGGCCTTTGACCATATAGAGTGTCCTATCAGCTCCACAGTGGCATCAGCGTTTTCCACTCTCATCTTACACACCTCCTTTTTCACTTCTGCACAGTAGCGCACACATCTTTTGAGTTTGTTTGTGTGTGTGTGTGTGTGTGTGTGAGAGAGCATTTGTGTGTTTTAGTGTCACTTATTTAGGTGATAACATTGTTGAAACTCTAGCTCTTTGTGTGGTCTGGTGTGTGCACATACTGGCAGAGCTAATGAATACACACACACACACACACACACACACACACACACACACACACACACACACACACACACAGCATCACACGCGCGCGCAAACACTGAGAAAATGTCTATCCAGGTATTTGTCCAATCAGTGCCCCCCAATAAGAGTGTGTATGCTTGAGCTGACAGTGTTNTGATAATATAAACCAAAATATGATGTCCAATCAATGATGTTCAGTTCAATTTTTTTGTGTTTGAACACTCATTCATACAAGTTTTTTCTTTTAATTTGTCACCCATATATATTTTTCACCAAAGTCTGTTCATTTGTAAGTTTCTCAGCATTTTTCTGCAAATAAAATCATGTTTTTTTATGCTCTATATTTTCTATCCACAGTTTCCAAGCAGGCTATTTTAAGGCTGTGTTTGTGGAAAAATTCAGATACACTGCAGCACCAGATGAGCATTTAGCGTAACCACAAATGCAAATCACTCAACTGAGCATTAGATGGCAGTGTCTCCCCTTAACACCTGTAACAGACGGTGTTTTGTTTTTCATTACACCCCATAACAACTCACAAAGTGCAAAAAAGGACAAGAAATCCAATGTGTGGAGGAGACATGATTGCTTCTCCGGTCTTTTGATTATAACCTCTACTGGATTAAATGGCAACTCTACACTGTATTTTTAATCAGTACCGTTTCACTGCCAAATCAACAGGAACAACCACAGCTGTAATACACAGGCATCTTATCAGGTGCTTATTCACACCACAAACAAAGCAGCTCAGATGATGAATAGGTCTAATTTATTTTGACAAATCACATAACAATGTTGCATTATGATTCAGGACTGAGAGTATTGAAAGAGTTATGTCAAGATATATACAAAAACGCTAAGTTCAGGCAAGAAACAAGCTTTGGTCCAGGAAAAGATGAAGTATTAGACAAATAATTAAGGCTGTGGTCCTACTGGTATATTTTTCACCATTAAAGGAAAAAGTTTAACATATTGGGAAGCACTTATTTACCTCGGGAATGTTAAAAATAACTTTCAAAATGTTGCGGTTTAGTGGGGAGCTACGTGTCGGAACAAATGAGATGTAATGTGTTGATAATGAGTTTTGCAGATGCTGGTGAGTGGATTTTGTCACACATAGAGTCAGGCAAGCTGTTTCTCCTTTAACATTTTGGTAAACACACTTTTTGGCTGTTTCATATCTGTCTGATAGATGTGAAGCTGCAGCCAGCAGCTGGTTAGTTTGGCTTAAGATAAAAACTGGAAACAGGTGGAGCCTGCAACAACAAGACTCCAAGAAATAGCCAGTAGTTGAACCACTATGTGCCTTGTTACACTGGTTTTTGTGTGGATTAAACAAACAAGATCTCACAAGTTCATTAGTGAGTTTTTGATGCATCCTGCCTTATTGATTCACCCACAGTCTTATCCGATTATCCTCATGATCTTCTACATACGTAGACAGATTTACAAGAGCATGTAACATAGGACAGATGTGGGGGCCCCGAGGCTGCGGCACCAGGCTTTCCACATTCCTCCCACTGACCACGGCTGTAAACTCACACAGGTTGAGAACAACAGCGAATCTTTTCTTTGGCACACACAGCAAAGTTTTCCAAGAAAGCGACCGGCTGGCCGGCTCCAGCTGGACCCCGACTGGACCCCGACTGGAATGTGCTGTTGCTCTCCTTTGCTTTTTCACTTTCCTCGCTGCTTAAATGCCCAGTTAACTGGAATAATTGGTCTGACCCTCTGGGAGGCTGTTTTCAGATGTATGAGTCAGTGGTCGAGGAGAGAGAGAGTGACGAGAGAGGGGAGTAACTAGGGGGGAATATGAGCACAAGAAGCAGAGACACCCTGCCCTCAATGCACTCCACCTTCAGCTGCAGCTCCCACGCAAAGACACCAGCAGAGGGAAAGTGTTCCTGCATTAAAACAAGCTGCTCACATCCCTTCTCCACATCTGTTTCTCATGTCGGTGGCAGGATATAACCTGTAAAACAACAATGCCTGGTAATAGACACGCTGAGGGGGAAGGTAATGACTCTTTACCACAAATCTAGAATCAGCACTTTCAGCTACTTGTCAGAAATATATTCAGACTTTAATCAACTAATTAGACCCCCCTCTTACTTGGAGATGTTGTCATGAGAGTTTACAAGAGAAAAGTGGGAGTGACTAATGGAGGTGGACAAAGGGAAGCAGTCAGAGAGCAGAAAGTGAGGCTTCACTACTGTAAGGAAGGTGCAGATGCAAAAAAAAAGAAAGAAGGACATGAGGACATGTGAGGGAAAAGAGCAGACTTTGTGGAAAAATAAGCATAAATGAAGGAGTGTCTGCTGGTGACGGTGTGGACCGAGTTCAGCCCCCTCGCTACTGGAGGAAATAATCACAGTTCACCAGACTGACATGATGTGGACAACAACTGTCCTCCTGCTGCTGCTGCCTCACGTGCTTTCCTCCGCAGTATGTACGACGTGCATGTCATTAATGTTTTCAACTGTGGGTTGTTGTCTGTCTTGTATCTAACAATTTCTGTTTATATATTATGACAAGAAGCTATAAAAAAAATGAGAATTTGAGATTGTTAGTTGACAGGAAGCTGCTATACATCTGTAGAAATGTGTCAGTGCTCAAAAAACAAAGATGTATGTTTCATTTTTGTAGTAGGAGACTGTAAATTTGGGATTTTTCTTTAATTTTTTGTTATAACAATATTAACTAGTGTGAGGCAAATGAAGTATTATTAGCAAAAACGTTTTTAATGTGACAATGAGAGTACCTTTCATACGTGATTTCTGTACTACTACATATAACAGACAGTTGTTATCGCTGATAAATTTATGTGTACAGAATGTTTTTCTTGTGGCTTCTTTGAAGTGAAACTGATTTTAACTACTTATTAGTGTTGTGCGGTTCTGATCTGACAAAAACCTCAGTCTTATAAATAAATTTCAGTTAATAATTGAGTCATTAAACCTTATTTTTGAGCACAACAAGAATACGTCAACTAATTTTCAATCTACGTCAACCTATTAATAACTGTAATGATGTTTATCTGCAGAGCATTTATCAAAAGGAGTTTTGCAAAATTCTTTGGAACAAACATGAAATACACACAACAGATGACACAGTTATAGAAAAGAGGAAGAAAATATAAAACCAATAGGTGAATTTAAACTTAAAGCAATGAATGACTTTAAAAAAACAGCGTAAAATATAACATAATTCAATAGCCGATAACAAAATTAGACCTAAAAGTTCAACAAAATGAACAAGAAATCCTACATTCTATAAATTATACAAACATTATGCAAATAAGTATTCAAAAAATGATTTAAAGGAAAATACTGAAGTCGGAGTTTCTCTGATGAGCTCTCACAACAAACACCCGGCCTCCTTTAATCTTAAGTGTGAGGTGGGAACAGCCAGCAGGTTCCTGCCTGAGGAGCTCTGGCTGCAAACTGATTGATAATGAGACGGAAGTTCAGTGCTCACAACTTTCTGTGTTGCTCAATGTTTCAAAAGTGTTTCTGTTTGATGGCTGAAACTCACCTCCTTTCTCAGTTTGCACCATATTAAAAGCAGTCACACAGGCACACGATCAAACTAAATGATTCAATCTCTAATGTTACATGATACTAGTCCTGGGATAGCTGCACATAAAAAACACCAGTAGATTAAACTCGCTCACTGTAGTTCTCTCTGGATTGCCAGGACAAAGGAAACAGCGGTGATTTTAACCAATCAGAGATAGGTGATGAGGACTTCTCTGACGCTCCTGTCAAAGCCCAGAAACCTGCTGGGGAGGTCAGAGGTCGAGACACATGCTCCATCCCCTGTGACATCACTGTCAAGCTGCTACGAGATGAGAAACACTCCATCTGTGGTAAAATTTTTTGTATTTCCTCGTGTTATGTCATCTCCATCATCACTGTGTAGTGTTCAACGTGTGTGTGTGTGTGCAGGCCAGTTGCAACAGTCTCTGTTAGCGTTTGGACGCAGCACCCGGAAGCTGATGAGGGATGTGATGGAGGAACAGCAGAGAGCTCTGGATATCCTCAGCAGTCAGGTAAGAAGGAGAGTCTGTTTTTCCTCTGGTAGAAAGAGAGTTACTAAGCGTCTGATTGGTCGGCTGTACGTACAGTAGTGTGATATTTCCAGGTCACAGAGCTGATGACCAAAGTGCAGACGCTCAGCTCCGAAGTTCAGAGAAGCAACACTGAGATGTACTCCATAAAACCTGTGCAGTCCCACGGTAACACACACAAACTCATGCCATGATGCGACATTGATCTATGACAGGTTATACAGTTTTTACACATGAACATAACTTTACTGCTCATAAGGAGTCCTTGGATTACATCTGATGGACTTTGAGATTTTTAATTTACAACAACAGCCTACATTATTTACATGGGTGCAAAAAAAGATTTAACAGAAGGCACTACCAAGCTGAATTAAGGGAAGGTTTGAGTCATGCTAAAGATTATGAATATCTGGAAAACTACTGCATCATGTTCTACACTTTAAAAAAAAAAAAAAAAAAAAGGGGGTTCCAAGTATCTCACTTCCAGAAAACTGTGTTAATTGTGAGAGATTTTTTAAATAAAAAAAATGGTAAAAATCAAAGCAACAGAGCCCAAAATGTAAAAACTTTCAGCCCCTAGTATGAAGATAATAGTAAGATTGAAGAAAAGAATTGGATCCCCACAATTAAAAAAAGTAATCACCATTACTTGGTTGATCTTTACTGCCTGGTTTATTGCCACATCTTTCAAACTGCACACCTTCATGTTGGGCTCCCTGTTGTTCAGTTTTACTGTCCAAACCCAAGCTGACGTAATCAAGGTTATTTTCTTAGACAAAGTCTTGATTCCACAGGTTGTGCATGAGTCCGCATAATGAGTAAACTGATCCTGACGTGTAAAAACTGCAAAGTGTCCCTTTTAAATCTGCTGTCCCGCAGCTTCAAATGCTATAAAAGTGAAATTGCTGGAGTACACCTTTAATTTGCCACTGATTTGTATCTCCAAAATGTTAACTTTTCCATGAGATCAAGATAAGAAAAGGTATTGTTCTATGAGCCAGTGTTTCTAAAGGCATTTTTCTTTAACCTAGGAAGCAGAAGGCATATCTTAACATACATAGTAAGATGCATTTAGTCCTTCAGAACATCTGAAATCCTTAAAAATAAGGAAAAGCAGTTTTCATTAGACAAACCATAACATTACTCATTTGTAATGCTATCCTTTGACAATCTGTGTCTCATCTGAGTGAACCACAGACAAATTAAATCCAGAGAAAACTGTTCTGACAACAACAGCGTGTGTATCAGCGAGCATTGTTGCAGATTTTTCTTTGTCATCAGGGACTATAAACCAAAACAGCTGCTTGAACATGAACTTCATTAAACTGTGTGTTTGCACTGATTAGGGCGAGACTGCAGCGACATCAAGGACAATCTTGTGTCGGTCGTCCCAAAGATCCCCAGTGGTATTTATATAGTCCATCCAGACAATACCGACTCTTCCTTTGAGGTATATACACATGATCCACTCATTCATTCATTCACAGTCTGTCACTCGCTCATTGGACACCACTCATAGCGAAGCTTGTCCTGCAGGTGTTCTGTGAGATGGACTACATGGGAGGAGGATGGACAGTGATGCAGAGGAGGACCGATGGATTAATTGACTTTAAGCGACCCTGGGCTGACTATGCTGATGGCTTTGGACACCTTGCAGGTTGTAAATTACAGTAAAGGTGTATTTTTTTCCTTAAAAATCAACATCAGAAGGCTGTATGAGTGAGAACATTTGCATGCCATTGCCTACTAGATGGTATACATTTTGGACATGAACTAATGTTATGTAATTATGTGACAGTTTGGGTAACACTCTGGTTTGTTTCCTTGTTGAGAGTTGGCAAAGTAAATCACTACCAATCTGTTTAATGGACAAATAGTGTATTAACTAAGTTCTCACACTGTTCCTTTGAGATGGTTGACTTGTACCAAACTCTACAGATGTTTGGGGATCATATCCTACACTTTCCAGTGGCTATGATAATCTCTCATTTTATGTGTGTGTGTTTAGGAGAACACTGGTTGGGCCTGAAGAAGGTGTTTCATATAATAAACCAGAAAGACACTCGGTTCCAGCTTCACATCGCTTTAGTTTCCCACGATGACGTCACCTCTTATGCATCATATGATGACTTCCGTCTCGACAATGAAACACAGTTCTTCAGCATACATTTGGGCAGATATGCAGGAAGTGCAGGTATGACTTGATAAATCAAAACTCACAAAGCGTTCACCTCCTTTCCACACAGTACAAATTAAAAATCAGGATTTATGCACTGCTTATCAATGACTAACCTGCATAGTTGTGTGTATTTCTGTGCGTTCTGGTGCAGGCGATGCTTTCCGCGGCTACGACCAGGATCAAAACCAGGACACGGCTCCGTTTAGTGCCTCGGATGTGGACAATGACGGCTGCAATCCTTTCTGCTCCATCGGCAACAGCACGGTGGAGAGCTGCAGCATTCAGCAGAACCAGACTGGATGGTGGTTCAACCAGTGCGGCCTGGCGAACCTCAACGGCTCCCCTGAGGATGCAGAGCAGAACCAGGGTCAGAGGACACACATCCTGTGGGACACCTGGAGGCAGAAGGGAGTCCCGCACACCATCAAATCTGTCACGATGAAGATCAGGAGGATTGCGACCAATAACTGACAGTTAGAGGAGGCAGAATGTAGATATAACAACTGGAAATCTGAATAAAACAATAGAAATCTGTGAAGTCTCATTTTCATTGTTTCACCTCATTGTAACTAATCCCCTGTTGCTTCACATATTCCTTTAAAGTCACATGGTTTGACTTTAAGGACATATATATCTAAAAATATAATGCAGCCTATTACATCGACACAACATCTGACATGTACAACACCACAATCATCAGAAAATGACACAAATGATTAGGTGCTATCACTCCCAATTTAAGACATTACCGCAGTGTAGCATCAATTGCAGCACTTTTACAATGGATTGCAATTGATTTTTTGATGTTTTTAAAGTAATTTTTTAACCTTTTATTTACAACTATTATTTCTGTTAAGTTTAATTATAGTTTTGCAACTACTACAAGAGCTACTTTTTAGTTTGTAGTCATTCTTTCATTTACTTCTTCAAGAAAAAGGAAAAACAACTACAACGCCATCACTCTTTATAACAAGCTGCTGAGCTGTAACTAAAAGCATTATCAGTGGTTAACAAATCATTTGCTAATGTTTTTTTGATTGAGGTATGCTCCACTAATTTTGGGGAAACTACAGAAAAATTATCCATTAACCTTCAAAAAACCCATTAAAATGTTGTCTATCCAGAGGATTATAATAAATCTAGAAGTCAGGACTCAAGCTTTAAACTCTTAGCTGTCAATGAGCTCGCAATAGGAGTTTAAACATTCATAGGCAAAATTGTAAACTGCCAATTTCATATTGCATTTCCAGGTTGCAAATTGCGAATATGCATTTGCAGTTTCACTGTACGGGCCGTTCGTTCTTAGACTTGCATAGCTTAATCTTTGAGACAAGCTACTGGCAGGATCAACCAGGTAGCCCCAGAGGTGGTTTGGTGGTTAGTACCATTGCCTCGCCAATGAGGACACCCAAGATCTTTCTGCATGGAGTTTGCATGTTCTCCCCGTGCAGCGTGGGTTCTCTCCGGGTTCTCTGGCTAGCTTCAACATGTTTCTCCAAAACATGTTGAGGCTAATTGGTGATTCTAAATTGTCCATAGGTGTGAATGTGAGTGTGCTTGGTTGTCTGTCTCTAAGTGTAGCCCTGTGATAGACTGGCGACCT